AATTACGCCAATGTATGGTAGGAGGCATATGGAGGGATGTGTACCATAGGATTTCTCTTTCTATATTGATATTCACTTTATGGTAGTCCCAGACTTTTTGGTATTTAAATTCGTGATGTCTTTTTCATAACTAGTTATTTATTTTTTATTTTTTTCAAATTTTATTCATTGATCATTGAGTTCAAGGTTGGTTAGGAAAATTTATAAGGAGTTATAAGCCTATGTGTTTTTGGAGTATTAAAGACAGATTAGAGATGGGGGAGAGGATATGGCAGGGAATGAAGTATGGGCAAAATTGATATTAAATAAAAATTAATGGCTTACCTAAAAATTTTCTATTAGTTGACTTGGTGGTTGACTAACGCGGGGGAATTGCATACAATAATAGAATTACTTGAATTTTTAATTGAAGCAAATTTTTGATATCATTAAAATTATTAATTGACTTAATGGTTTATCAAAAAAAATGGTCATTTGTTATGGAATTAAAAGTTTCAAGAGGCGAGATGCAATTTTCAGAACCATATAAAGCAATTCGTATTCTCAGTGGGTAGAAATGAGACAAACTTGCTTGCAACGATGGACTCAGGCGAACTAGAGGGGAAAGTTGCTGAGTCTGGAAAATTTGTATTATTGTAGGTACTATTTGGTTTATTCTTTGCTAATTGCAAAGATGGCCCCTCCTTTCAAAAATGCTTTCAGTTCTCATTTATAGCTGTGTTTGAAAAGGCGAGATACAATTTTCAGAACCATATAAAACAATTCATATTTTAAGTAAATTTTTATCTTAAATTTTTTAAAAAAGAAAAAAATATATTGAATTGTAGCTTCCTTATCTTGATAGCTTTATTTTGGTGGGTAGAAACGACACAAATTGACAGCCACCACTTGCAACGGTGGACCCAGGGGGACTAGAAGGGGCTGTGGCAAAGTCTTGGTGCAACTGGTGATGTGATCTCATCAAATAATTTTTTCTTTCCCAGAGCAAATCAATCTTGGCTTCTCTTCTTTCACTTTACAAGACTACAATCTATTTCCTTCATTTTCCTAATCTCTGTTTCTACCTCTGCAACCAAAAGAAAAACAACAACATGGCTGCTGCCTTGGTTGGAGGAGTATTTCTGTCTGCCACCCTTCAAGTGCTGTTTGACCATTTGGCTTCTCGTGAGTTCGTCAACTTTTTCCATGCTCAAAAGCATGATGATAAACTCCTCAGGAAGCTCAAGTCAACATTGCGGATGATGCAGAGGACAAGCAGATCACTAGCACTGCTGTGAAAGACTGGGTGGATGAACTTAAAGTTGCTGTGTATCATGCAGATGATTTACTCGGTGAGATTGCTACCGAAGCTTTGCGATGCAAGTCTGAAGCCAAGTACCATAGCGGGTCAGACCAGGTATAAAGCGATTCCGGTTTTCCCTTTCTGTATTTGTTGTACTCCGGACTTTGGTTCCGTGGAGTTGGTGATTGTATATCTTGTTGTTATTCTTTAATTCCGTGTGTTTGAGTTTTAGGATGTTTTGGGTAGGTGGGTTACAGTCTGGTTGAGCCTAAGTCTCAAATCTTGTTGCCCAGTTTTCAGGTGATCCGCTCGAGCGGAGCGGGGTTTACACCCTCTCAGTATTTCGTGCCTCTGAAAAACTTCTGCAAGTGTGTTTTTCACGCTCGAGTGGATTTTCTTACGCTAGAGCGGGTCGCGCTCGAGCGGGCCTATTGGCACTCGAGCGGGTAGTTCATTGTCTGTAAAAGTTCTGGGGGTGGTGGATCTATGCTTGAGCGGACTGGTTTTCGCGCTCGAGCGGATGTGTTTTGTTTTTGTGTCTTGGCGCTCGAGCGGACTTTCTTGCGCTCGAGCGGGTCCAGTTTTTGTGCTTGACGCTCGAGCGTCCTATTCTCCGCTTGAGCGGGTCATACGTATATCAGTAGACAACAGCGGGATTACACTTCACTTTTTCATCTCTTTCATTTTCAAAACCCTAGATCTGAGCTCTCTTTCTCTCTACAAACCTTCTCTCTAAGGTTACATCTACTTCTAGTGAGTTCCTAGCCTAGCCTCTTTGTATAAAAGATAGAGGGTGTTGAGGGCTTTGTTTTAATCTGAAAATTTCCGAATTTGGAGCACGTTGGGCTTTGGTCTTCATCTCCGTTTGAGATCTAACTTCGAGGTAGGGACATCCTACTCCATCTTATGAGCTTTGTCTTAAATTTTTGGCGTTTTGATATGGTGGGGTTGTCGAGTAATTTTGAGAAAGTTTGGGGTCTTTGTGTAATTTTCAAAAGAGCGATTTTCAAGTTTAAAACTCATATGTATGTAATACTTTGGGAAAATAGAACCATGTGTTGGATTATTGATGAAAATGGAACCTTAGGGTTGGTATTGAGATTATGGGAAAAAGTCCTAATTGTTATGATAAATTAATTTGTGTAATTAATTTTGGGAAATGAGAAATTGAATAGGAATTATTCAAATTGGAAATGTATGGGATTAAAAGGTGCAGTTGGATTAATTGATCGCTCACCTAGATGAAATGTTGATATTTTATCCATTTGGTGCATTTATTTTCTGTTTAGAAATACCTGCTTTGAGCTATCGGTGGAGGATAGTCTTTATTGTTGTAGACAATGCATGATGATTATGCGAACTAAAACTAATCAATTGAGTATGCCATAGAATATGGTGGTTGGTATAATACATCGAAATTATGTATTGGTTGAGTGAACATGTATATGATAATTGCTTATATACATTGTGTTATGTGGGAGGAGATAGGGGATGTACTCCATGGTTTAGGGGAAGATAGGGGATGAACCTCTAAACCGAATTTTGTTTGATATTGATACAGCACTAAAATGTGTATCATTTGTGAAGTATGGAAGTGTTTTTACATGTTATTGATACAACACTAAAATGTGTATCATTTGTGAAGTATGGAAGTGATTTTGGCTGAGATTGATACAACACCAAAATGTGTATCTATTATGATATAAGAAATGTTTAACATGAGTTGTTATCCCAATTGAATTGGAAATATTGTTAATAAGAGATGAAATCTCTGTCGGATTGTCTGGCCAGGTTCTGAGCCACATTTTTGAAATGAAATATAACATGGACATGATTGTCATGGTGTTGTAATGTGATGTAAGTGGATATATAAGTGTTGACCATCTATCAACTGCTAATATTTTAGTCATTGTTTATAGTTGGTATAGTATATTTCTAGTGGGCTGTGGCTCACCCTTTATGGTACATCATTTTCAGGTTCAGGTACTATGCCGCCTCCGAGATCTTAGCATGGATCATTGTGGGAGTTAAAGACTCATTTTTGTTAATTTCTGTTGTATTACATGTACATCAAGCCAAGGGCTTCTTTTTTGTAGAGTTAGTACTCTCTTCTTTTGTAACCAAGTGTTGACTTGGAAAGTTGTAAGCCTATAGGGCATTTACTTTTGTCGTCAACATGTAATACTTTTTGTAAGAATACTCTGATGATTATAATATGAGATTCTTATTCTTTATCGTGATTGTATGATATTATGGGTTTATTTTGAGGGCGTTACAAGGTACGAAGTCCCACCTTGATTTCTTCTAGTTCATTTGATACAGATATAGTGTCCAAGATAGAGAAGATCATTGATAGATTAGAATATTTTGCGAAAGAAAAAGATGTCCTCGGTTTGAGAGAAGTTGCTAGGCAAAAATTGTATCACTTCTTTGGTTGATGAATCTGGTGTTTGTGGAAGGGATAATGACAAGGAGGATGTAATTAAGTTGCTGCTCTCAGATGAGGCAAGTGGTGGTAATCAGAAGATAGATGTGATTGCGATAGTGGGGATGGGTGGGGTTGGCAAGACCACCCTTGCTCAATTTTTATACAATGATGGCAGAGTGGATGATCACTTTGATATGAAAGCATGGGTTTGTGTCTCTGATGAATTCGATGTTGTAAGGGTTACGAGAACAATTCTTGAGGCAATGATTCCGCAGGGTTCTAATACAATGGACCTTGGTAAAAAGGACCTTAATCAGCTTCAAGTCAAGCTCAAGGAATTCTTGAGTGGGAAAAAATTTCTTATCGTTCTAGATGATGTTTGGAATGAGAACTATGATAACTGGGATAGCTTGAGGAGTCCTTTTGGATATGGAGGACATGGGAGCAGAGTTATTGTTACAATGCGCAATGAGAGCGTTTAATCTATTATGCAAACAGTTCCTATTCATCATTTGCAGCAATTATCGGATGAAGATTGCTGGAAATTGTTTGCCAAACATGCATTTGAGAAGGGAGATTGTGGTGCACATCCAAATCTTGAAAGGATTGGTAAAGAGATCGTGAAAAAGTGTAAAGGTTTGCCTCTAGCAGCAAAAACATTAGCCGGTCTTTTGCGCTCTAAACGAGATGTTGAGGATTGGAATAATATATTGAAAAGTGGAATATGGGATTTGCCAAAGGAGAAAAGCAATATTCTTCCAACCTTAAAATTGAGCTATCATTACCTCCCTTCGCATTTAAAGAGATGCTTTGGTTATTGTTCTATATTTCCTAAAGATTATGAATTTGAAAAGAAGAGATTAGTCCTAATGTGGATGGCTGAAGGTTTTGTTGAGCAACCCAGAAGTAATAAAACAAGGGAAGAGGTAGGTTATGAGTGCTTCTATGAATTGCAATCAAGGTCGTTTTTTCAATGATCAAATGCTAATAAATATTATTTTGTCATGCATGATCTTGTTAATGATTTAGCTCAAGCTGTGTCTGGAGATTTCTGTTATATGTTAGAGGACAACAACGCACATCATATTTCTGAAAGGGTACATCATTTCTCATGTGTTAAGAGGCAAATTTGATGGCTTTGAAAAATACAAGCTAATTAATGATGCCAAGTTTTTAAGGACTTTTCGAACACTAGGCTATTCTTATTCGTGGTTGAGCAAAAAGGTTTTGGATGATATTTTACCAAAACTAACATGCTTACAGTTGTTGTCTTTGTCGCGTTATAAGATTATGGAATTGCCTCATTCAATTGGAAATTTACTACATCTACAGTATTTGGATCTTTCTTACACGAAAATCAAACAATTGGCTGAATCAGTTTGTACCATGTATAATTTAGAAACATTACTACTATATAATTGTCGTCAGCTAACTACCTTGCCTGTAAATCTTTGAAAACTAATTCATTTGCGCCATCTTAATATTACTGGAACTAATTTACAGGGAATGCCAATGCAAATGAGTCAATTAAAATGCCTCCAACTTTTAACTGCCTTTGTGGTGGGCAAGTCCAAGGGGTTGGGTATTGAAGAGTTGGAGGAGTTTCGTCATCTTCAAAGTACGCTCTCCATTTCAAGTTTGCAAAATGTAACTAATGGCATGGGTGCAATGGAGGCAATATTGGAGGAGAAAATGTACCTTAAAAAAGTGGTACTCGAATGGAGGAGCATTACCAATGATTCACAGATTGAGAGAGATGTTCTCGACAAGCTAAAACCTCATACAAACTTGAAACGCCTTGAGATTAAAAGCTTTGGTGGCACAAGATTTCCAGATTGGTTGGGAGATAAATCATTTTGTAATATAGTGTATTTGTCTCTTGACAATTGTAAGTATTGCTTTTCCTTGCCACCATTTGGTCAGTTGCCCTCTTTGAAGGACCTTGAAATTTCAAGGATGCGAGGAATAACAAAGGTAGGCCATGAATTCTATGGAGATAGTTCTTTAAGCAAACCATTTCAATCTCTAGAGACTCTTAGATTTAAAGAAATGTTGGAGTGGGTGGACTGGTATATATTAGAATCTGGAGAGTTCTCTAAGCTTAAAGAGCTTCAAGTAATCAAATGTCCAAAGCTGATTGGAGGCTTACCGAAACACATTCCATCTTGTGTGAGACTTGAGATACGGGAATGCTCAAGACTTATGGGCCAACTTTCGAATATTTGTGGCGCAGGCACAAGTGAATTAGTATTGAAAGGATGTGATGGGGTAGAATTGGGGTGTCGAGGTTTGTCTTCCCTAACAAAATTCGAGATTTCAGAGATGCCTAATTTAAAGGAATTGACACCCGAGCTGTGCGCTTTAACAAATCTGAAGGAGTTCAGGGTATGGAATTGTCCAAGCCTATTGTCATTCCCAGATACAGGGTTGCCACCCATGCTTACATGCCTTACAATCAAGCACTGTCCAAGCCTAGTGTTCCCCAGATCCGAGGATATGGAGAACTGCTGCACATCCCTTGAAACTTTGTTCTTATCATCCTGTGATGCTCTTAAACCCATGTGGCTTGGATTCTTTCCAAAGCTTCGATCTCTAAGCATCCAGTTGTGTACAAATTTGAAGAGTATTACAGATCTAAACTTGCTTGGGCTCCAAAATTTGACATCTCTCGAGTCACTTTTCTTAAATGGGTTCTTTAATCTGATATCTTTTCCCCGAGGAGGACTACCAAGACTCAATCTGACTAAATTTACGATCTGGCAATGTTGGAAGCTCAAGTCGCTGCCTGAAGGAATGCATACCCTCTTCCCATCTCTTCAATCACTAGAATTAATGGATTGTTCAGAAATTGAGTGTTTTCCAGAAAGTGGGCTTCCCTCCAGCTTAGATTCACTTGAAATCGAAAATTGCAGCAAACTTACCGCTCGCCGAAGAGAATGGGATTTGCAAAGGCTCCCTTCTCTTAGACACTTCAGATTAGCAGGTGAACATGTTAGAAATTGGGGGCAGTCCTTTCCAGAAGATGGGGTGGAGTCCTTTCCGGAGGAGGGGTTGTTACCATCGACTCTTATGTCACTCCGCATTGAACATCTACCAAATCTGAAATCGTTGAACATCTACCAAATCTGAAATCCATCAACTCCTTGGCTCTCTCAAATACATGAAGATTGTGAAATACCCTCAGCTCCAAACCTTGGTCAAAGAGGGGCTTCCCACCTCTCTCTTTATGCTGGAATTGATTGGCTGTCCAATGCTAAAACCTCGTTACCTCAAGGGGGAAGGACAGGACTGGCATAAGATTGCTTTTGTCCCCGTTATACACATGGATGGTGAAGTGATCTTTGAGCAACTCACTCTTCGTCCAGCAATGGATTCTGAACCTCATACACTGTACGTACTTCCACATTCATTTTACAAGCTATTTTCTTTTTGTGTTTTTTTATGTCTATATTTATCATAAGGTTGGTTTTGAGTAATGATATACAAATAATAATATTAATAATGATGTGGATTATTGTGGTTGTTTCATGTTGATTCAAAACATCAGTCTTTGTCTTCATAATTTCATAAATGTCACTAACACATTGTTCTTGGTGTATTTTATGTTTGCGAATCATTTAATTGTGGAATTATGATTTGAGTGTGGAATTATGAGTTGAATTTTGAAAAGAGAAAATTTGGTTGCTTATGAGTTTTAAAAGTGTTTTTAAATTTGGAAAAAAAAATTTGAGTCTTTATTTTTTTTCTCTCTTATATAAATGAATCTAAAAGTAGAACAAAATTGAAAATTTTCAAAAAAAAAAATAAATTTAAAAAGTCAAAATAAGCCAAAAAATCAATATTTTTGGCTTTTTTTATTGATTTTTTTTAAAAAAAAAAAAAAAGATTTTTGAGTTGTGTGTTTAGTTATGAGTTTTAAATTTTTTTTATTGGAATCATAATTCCAAAAGAGAACCAAACGCAGTAGTAATTATCCTAACAATTTTTTTTTTATGTTTTATTTCTGAAAGGAACTTGCATAATTCGAAAATTTGTAATTCTTCATTTTGATGAATATGTTTGTTATTTGTGTTTGAAGTTCAGTATTTCTAATGGTTAATGGTTTGCACAATTCTTGTTATGCCTGCAAGTTGAATTCTTCCCCGTCAGAAACTTGTTTCAAGGACTATCGATGAAAACCAAAACCTTCTCTACCTTTTAAGTTTTTTGGTAAAAAGTACTGCAAGTTTGCATAAATTTGTTGTTGAGTGCATTTTACTTGGTGCTGTGTTTGTGCATTTGACCAAGCTTGTGTTCTTCAGAGTTACATCAGTGTTGGATTTCTTACATTTTTTAGTTTTATCCTTTCCATAAGTTTTTTATATTTTATTTATAAATTAATTTTTTTATTACTTCATATTTCACTAATTTAGAAATTAATTTTCCTAAGTTGTAGCATACTATTTTAAGGTCATTGTACATCATGTTTTCCAACTCTCATTCATTTTCTTTCTAGTCAATGACAATGAATACATGGTTTGGTCTTCTTGCATGGCTTTTAATTAACTATCAGTCTTGGATGTCCAAAAATGTCCAGGATGTGCCGATCGGAGATCATTCGGGAATGTGTAAGATGTTGATGATCTTTTACCATGATGTTGAAGTAAATGTGTAACCTTCTCCGCTTCAACTTTCAATTTTTATAGGTAACTTTTTACATTAGTTTGCTAGTCATATAGAGTTCTCTTATTGCAAAAATTGGAAGTGAAGCCCTCAGAATTGTTTTTGACATTACAAGATTTTGAATTAAAGCAATTCTGATGATGCAACATGTAGGAATTGAAGTTGGATAAAAAAGTTTGACATAAAGCTTTATAATGAAGTTCTGCTTTTTTAACTTAGATGACAAATCCAATTTTTGAGTCTTGGAGTTTAACATATTATGTGGAGATTCTTCTTTTCTTTTCTTTTTTTGTTCCAGCTATTGGATTGATGAACATATTTGAATGTCAATGTTCTACATTAGAAACATATTTTTATGTGACTCAGTTATGTTCTTGTCATAATCAGCTAAAAATTTGTGTTATGTAATGCTCCTTTTTCAGGAAAATCTGTACTTGTTGGTTCCTTTTCTAAGAAATAGTTTACTTGTTTTTCATTTAATATTTTGCTTTTCCATAAAGACAACCATAATACAAATACAGGAATTTGTGTTATTATTCTTTCTAGTTTTACTGGCACTTTGTGCATTAGTTTGCTAGTCTTATAGAGTCAACACATTTATCAATTTCTTATTGCTTGCACTCAAGATGCTTTGACATTACATGCTTGTGAATTAAAACAGTTTTGAATATGCGACAGAAAGGAAATAAAGTTAGGTAACTTAAATCAGAGGTAATGCTCTCTTTTTTGGATTGCCACTTCTCAAGTTCTGTGACAATTTCCATAGAGTTCGGCTTATAGCTTAGAAGAAGGTCAATCTAATCTCTGTGACCTGGAGTCAATTCACTTTTTAATCAGTTAAAATCTTGTTACCTCCGTATTGACTTAGTTATTTAACAAAATACATAAGGACCGGGACTTAATTAATGCATTAATTGTGAAAGGGCAATATCATCCCTCAATGTCAAAAAGTATTTTTTTGAGAAAATTACTAATTAATGGTAATTTGAGAAAGTAATTACATATTTATTATAAAAAAAATAGTTATAATTATTAATAATTATAAACTTCACTACTTATTTGTAATTATTTTTTAAATTTTACATTGATACAAAATTTTCACTATTTTCTTTCCCTCTTGGATATCCTCTCCAACGTTTGCCTCTTTCTCTTCTACCTTTTCTTTATTTATTTATTTATTTATTATCTAAATTGCCACTAGGTATTCACATCACAGCACAACGATCATTCCGTCATAGTTTCCAATGCAGCTCCATCTCCAGTGGAGAACAGAAAGCAAATTTAAAAGAAGATTACCTTTCAAATTATGCCGGTCCATGATTTAGATACACATCTTCATTCTAAATGGCCTCGTGGTGAATCGTAATCAAATTATGGCTGTACCACCAAAAATTGTTGCATCTAGGTAAAAATTGAAAATTTGAGAAAAGATGCTCCTCTCTCTCTCTGTCTCTCTCTCTCTTTTAAATTGGGCTTTGATAGTGTAGAGTATGAACTCTAAATCAGTATTAGGCTTTTTGTTTTGGGGGGAAGTGGATTTTTATAAGAACCCTCATATTTCTGAAGTAATGTTGTCAAGAGAACAAGAGCACAAGACATACTAAGCAAAACACTAACAAGGTTAAAGTAGTGTTAAATATGTAAACATGAATTCATTTTCTATTCCAAATCCAGGAAGTGCTTGATGTTTGCTTCTCTTGCCCTCACTGAGGTTTTCCTTTCAATCCCAAAAGTGGTTCCTGAAAATAAGTCCTCATTTGTGACACTACAAGGTGCTTCCATGTTGCATTTCTTACTAGTGTGATGCTTTAAATTTGCATTTATTGGAAGCTGATCATTTTTTTCATGTGTGTGTTAAGCTATGGACTATTGTGCTGTTACTACTGCATTTTAATTGTTTGCTTCACTCCTTGCACTAGATAGCATTCGACTTGGGTTTCTACCAAGAAATGTTGCAAAGTGGGTTGCTCCTTTATCAGATCGTGGCTTATTTAGGTTTTCTGGATATGTTTATTCAAAAGAAGTACTTGTGACTGCTTTAGAAGGAAGCACCAGCATAGTACAAATGATACTGTATGTGTCACAGGTGATGTTTAAGTCATATACTAGGTCCCTTCCTATTGCAGCTTATTTACTATGATAGTATGTTTATGCCAAGTTTTGGTGGTGTTATCTTGTGCAGTGACCTGCCTTTTCAGACATATCAAAAGTTGTGCAATCTAAACATGTTTCTGCAATATGTTCATTGGTTGCATCAATTTAGAGGTCTACAGGCCTCTGGCAACTTCAAGAGGTAATAGTGATGAAGTTTGTGAGATTATAGTTTTTCCTTTAGTATGTAGGAACATTCAACTGTGGTGTGATTTGTGATTGGGAGGGCTGCATTGGAAAACTAAATCATATACTGTATTGTTTTGGGGCAACCTATGTAATTTTTGGAGGTTTCCTCAAATGCAACTAGGAGAAGTTGGAACATTTAGATCCAAGGGGACCATGGCCTTCCATGCTCCTGCATCTCTTGTACACAGTCTCTTACAGTTCTAATGAGAAACCTATTTTGCACACATGGGCACTTTTTATGTGTCCGTCTGGTGTTAATTCATCACTTCGTTGTTGGAAGATTTGGATTTGCATATATTTACATGTTTATGAATGCACAACTCATTTTATGCTTTGAAAATTGTTAATAAAATATGGATTAGTTTGTAAAACATGGTACAAAAGATTTTGAGTCTAGGTTCTGTCTATGCACAAAAAACTTCTCTTATTTATTTATGTTTTTTTCTTGTTTAGCAAAAATGTATTTGTTACACGGTCTTAGGTAAAACTCAACCACAAAAGCTAGCTATTGAGGTGGGGTGCCCTCACACTTATATACTTCACATTACTTTAGTACCCAAGTGATAGGAGACTTCACTTCACAACATTAAGATTTCTCTTATTTTTAACATTAAAGTTTCCATCAGATTTTTATGTGCCTCTTCATGGTAAGTAATGAGAAAATGTGCTATGAAATCACCTCAGCAAGCAAAAGCACCTTAAATTGGTGACTACTTGGAAGTTGTGCATTATTAAACTGGAAAGGAAAAAATGAAAGTGCTAAATATTGGGATTATGGGGGTGTTTGTTTCAGCTTTTCAGAGCCAACTTATGGCTTTTAACTTTGAAAAAGTTATTTTGGACTGTTTGGTTAAACTTATTTCAAACAGCTTCTGATTCTAACAGCTTATTTTAACTCAAAAAAGCTGATTCTGAAAAGCTGCTCACCCCTTGCTTATGATTATCAACTTCTGCTGTGGACATGTTAATTTATGGTTATACTCTTAAATTTTTTTTTTTTTTTTTTAAAAAATAGAAAAAGACTCAAATGGACTATACATTATTATTATTATTATTATTTATGAGAAATGTAGACAAACAAAAAATAAAAATTAATTGAAAAAGCTATTTCACAGCTTATTTAACAA